TCTGTTCAATTGGGTTCTTACTTAAGTGAAACAGGTTGGCCTCTTTAAGTGGTTGGATATCTGTCATAGACGTGGCTTTTGTACTACCCTTGGATACTGACTGTTCATATGGTTATTTTGACTTGGTCTTTGGCTCTCTGTTTCGGGATGCTTCCATTTTTTGGGTCTATTGGTTTTCTTCCCTTTTCTATCTAAGTGAAAGTCTAGGGTTTTCTCGTCTGTAAATCGTAATCGATTTGAGTGATTCTTCAATCCTTTCTTTGTGAATAGCCGTGTAGCATGTACAGTTTTTAGGGGTTGATTATTGTGAGATTACGATTGTATTTGAGGCTATATTGAACTTGAAGAAATATGTATTCATTCTTGTTCTATTTTAGTGGATCTAGAGCTATATCATTTGTGGATGCTCAAAGGGTGAGTAGGTCTTTTGAGACTGAACATTCGGATCCTCTGGGGTGAAAAATCTTGTGTTTTGTTTCATTTTATGTTTCTGCACTTTTATTTGGTGTTTGAGAACTTCAATCCTTAGTTATTGTGAATTTAGGCCTTACAAGTGGTATCAAAGTCTCGTATCTTGGAATAGGGTTTGTGTCTGGTATTTCTTGGTGCGATTATGATGTTCTGGGTTTGAAGCTTTTTTTTAATCGTGAGGCAAAATTGATTTTTTTCTTCACTACTCGTTTGAACTCACCGTAAACCCTGGTTAATCTTTTGTTTCTACTAAGTCTTGGAGAGTTTTAAAATCTGACTCGTATTGAGTTTGGCGAGTTGGGGTAGCTCATTCTGGTTCCTGTTGAGTTCGTGACTCACTACTGAGTCTTGGTGACTCTTTGCCTTCTTGCATTCATTTTGGGATTCTTGGTGTGATTCTGGTATTCTCTGGTTGCTCTCCTCATTCTGAAACTTGAAGGTTTCAGACTCTGGTATTCTCTAAAACTATTATTTATTTGGTGTAATTACTGTTAAATTTTTTGGAATTGGTTATTAAGGTAAGTATTCTTCCATTGCTTTCCTTTGTCCAAGATCTCTTATGAACATCTGGGCATCTGATGGAGTAGTGGAATCCATGGTTACCAACTAAAGTGTTATTACATTGATTTGTGAATTGCATTGATAAAGATATATATGCTATTATCTTCTTAGTTCAGCTGTTCACTTATCTTGATCATTTCTGAAAATTGTTCTAATCATTATACTCTGTGTGTTGTATAATTACATTTTGTGGATATATCTGTCATCATNTGTGCTGTACAATTGTAGTTTGTGAATATTATCTGTCATCATGTGCTCTGCACATAAGTTTGAACTTGAGACTTAGAATGGGATTGGAGACTTCAATCTCTGGCGCCAAAAGATGAGGGCTCTTTTACTTCAACAGAGGTGTGTTGCAGCCCTTGATGAAACCAGTGCTTATAGAAGACAAGAACTAGATGATACTGCATGGAGTTCAATTTTCTTACACTTATCTGATAATGTGATTAGAAAAGTTGGTGAGACTACCTCTACATAGGCATTATAGACTAAGTTAGAAGCATTTTATCTGACCAAGACCATGCCTAACAAATGCTATCTCTTGAGCCAGTTCTACAACTTTAGGTTTGATCCCTCATCTGATTTGGAAGAAAACCTTGACAGATTCACAAAACTGATTGAGGACTTAGCAAATTGTCATGAAAAACTTTTTGATGATCAACAAGTTGTTGCTCTACTAAATTCTCTTAGTGATAAATATAAGGATATCAGAATTGCCCTTGAATATGGAGGGCAAGATCTTACGTTTGAAATAATAACATTAGCCCTAAAAAATAAAGATCTTGCGCTGAAAATTGAATCAAAAGACTCCAAATATGGGGAAGGGTTGCACATAAAGGATAAATGGAATCCTATTAAGAAACCACCCACATATAACTTCAATCTCCATAAGAAAGGAAAACTCTTCAGAATTTCAAATTCAAAAAGAAGCATAAAACGCATGTGAAGTCCAAGAACCAAATCAAAAAATACTACTACTGTGGTAAAACAAGTCATATGATAAAAGACTGTTTTAAGAAAATCTCATTTATGAAAGATAGAAACAATTCTGATGGTTCTGCGGCTTTGGCATGCAAGAATGAAAGATAGAAACAATTCTGATGGTTCTGCAGCTTTGGCATGCAAGAATGAACCTGATATTCAAGGGGTGATTCTTGTGAGTACCTCCAGAAGAGACCCAAAGGAATGGGTCATTGGCTCTGGCTGTACTTTTCACATGTGTCCTACTAAAGATTGTTTTTTCTGAATTTGTTGACCTCAATGAAGGATAAATCCAAATGGGAAATGACATGAGTTTTCAAATAAAGGGAATTGGAAATATCAAGCTACTACTAAATGGCTACATTCTTGAACTTGATAATACCATATATGTACCTGAGCTTAAGAGAAACCTAATTTCTTTGAGTCAATTAAATGACAAGTACAATATCATGATTCATAAAGGCTTGCTGAGACTCTAACAAGGATATAAAATTGTTATCTCCTCTCTGAAATTAAATGGGATATATAATGTCTCTCTTGAATCTGTGATTAATTATTGTTCTACAGCCTTAAACTCTGAGTCTAACAAATCTTTAATTTGGCATATAAAACTTAGACACATTTCAGAAAAATGACTAATTGTTTTGAATAATCTTGGTTGCTTTGGTGATGATAATATTACAAAATTGGATTTTTGTGAACATTGTATTTTTGGAAAACATAAAAGACTACCTTTCAAAAATGGAACCCATAAATCCACTTCTATCTTAGACTATTTACATGCTGACCTGTGGAGTCCAGCATCTGTAAATACTCTAAGTGGTTTAGGTTCTATCTACTTATAGTGGATGATTTTTTAAGGAAAATATGGACTCTTCTTTTGAAACATAAATATGATACTTTTAAAACTTTCAAACAATGGAAACTTATAATTGAAAACCAAACCAACAAGAAAATCAAAGCACTAAGGACTGATAATGGACTTAAGTTTTGTAATTATGAATTTGATTCCTTTTGTAAAAAATCTGGAATTCTAAGACACAGAACTGTAACATACACTCCTTAACAAAATGGAATTGCTGAGAGAATGAATAGATGCCTATTGGAAAAGGTAAGGTGTATGCTATACAGTTCTAGTCTTCCTAAGTATTTCTGAGGAGAAGTTTTAAAAACTACAACTTATCTAATAAATAGAAGTCCATCTAGTGCTATTGATTTTCAAGTTCCTAAAAAACTGTGGTTTGGAAAGATACCTAACTACAGTAGACTCAAAGTTTTTGGCTGCATTGCCTATTCACATCAAAGTGAAGGCAAACTTGAAACCAAATCTTTAAAATGTGTTTTTTTAGGGTATGGATAGGCTGTTAAAGTTTATAGACTGTGTGTCAAATGTCAAAATGGTTATAAAGTGATTGTCAGTCGAAATGTCATTACTTTGTCCTGGAAACTCAGACTGAAAATGCTGCAAATCAAGATGATTTTATTGAGGTGGAGTCTACTCAAACGGATCCCTCTCATGAGCAAACTGAATCTGAAAATGAATATGAATCTGTTGATTCTACTCTTACTGATTATCAACTTACTAAAGACAAAGAGATGAGAAAAATAAGACCTTCTACTAGATTCAATAATGATGAATTCATTACCTTATTTTCTGCTCTTGACTCTGTGAATTCAGAACATATTTCCTTTGATGATACCGTTAATTGCTTTGATTCAAAACTTTGGAAAGAGGCTATGAATGAAGAAATGGACTCTCTTATTAAGAATAGGACTTGAGTTTTGGTTGACAGACCTAAGAATCAAAAGGTTTGTAAGTGGATTTTTAAAATCAAACAAGGAGATTCTAATTCTGAAAGTAAAAGGTATAAAGCCAGATTAGTGGTTAAGGGGTTTACTCAAAAGGAAAGAGTGGACTATAGTAAAATATTCTCTCATGTGGCTAAGTATACTTCTATCAGAATTCTGTTAGCTCTCACTGCTCACTTTAATTGGGAATTGGATCAACTTGATGTCAAAACAGTTTTTCTGAATGGAGACCTTAATGAGACTATATATATGAATTAACCTTTGAGATTTGAAGTCAAATCTAAAACTGAAAAGGTTTGTCTGTTGAAGAAATCACTCTATGGGCTGAAACAGGCCCCCAGGTAATGATATATCAAATTTAACTCTTTTGATCAGAAATTGGGCTTTGTAAGAAGCAATTATGACTCATGTTTCTTTTTCAAAGGGTCGGTGGACCTAAATCCATTTATCTACTTTTATATGTTAATAATATGTTACTTGTTTGTCATGATAGATCTAAAATTGATTCTATTAATTCAAAATTGAAATCTGAATTTGAAATAAAAGATTTGGGACAGGCTAAAAGGATTCTTGGGGTGGAAATAGAAAGGGATAGGAATAATTGCATATTAATGTTAAAACAAAGATCTTATGTGAAGAAAATACTTGAAATTTTTTCTATACTTGAGTGTAAACATGTTTCATTACCTATTGCTAGTCATTTTAAAATGACCAGTGAACAATCACCTAAAATAGAAGATGAATTTAGAAGAATGGAAAATGTACCTTATGCTAACACTGTAGGTTCATTAATGTATCTTATGGTATGCACTGGACCTGATTTAGCATATGGAATGAGTATTTTAAATAGGTTTGTGGCCAATCCAAGTGAAACACACTAGCTGGCCATGAATGGATGTTAAGATACCTTAAAGGTTCTTCTGATTTAGGTTTAGAATTTAAAAGAAGTAATGAAGGGATAAAATTAAAAGGTTACACAGATTCTAATTTTGTTGGTGACTTAGATAAAAGAAAATCCACATCTTAATATATTTTCACTTTATGTGATGGTTGCATTAGTTGGAAGTCACAATTACAAAAATTAGTTGCCTTGTCCTCAATTGAAGCTGAATAAATTGCTGCATGTGATGCTGTTAAAGAAAGTACTTAGTTAAGAGGTTTGTTAAATGAAATTGGTTTTGTGAATGATTCTGTTATGATTTATACTGATAATCAGAGTGCCATTCGTTTAAGTAAAAACCATGTTTATCATGATAGAACTAAACACGTAGATATTAAGTTTCATTTTGTGAGAAACATGGCAGAAAAAAGATTAATCAGTTTGGTTAAAATTCCTACATAATTTAATCATTCAGATCTAGGGATTAAGGTATTACCTTTAAATAAATTTAGAAATTGCTTGAAGATTCTGAATATCACTTAATGATTGTGATAATTAGAACTTCAAGTACTGTTATTTTTTAAAAGATTTGAAGTATTTTTTTTTTCAGGTTTTTGGAGCAAATGAAGCAATAACTATAGTTCTCTAGATCCATTAAAAAGGCTAAGGAATAGTTCGGCAAGGTAGAGATTGTTAAGAATTGGGTTGCCTCACTATACTTGGCATGTTGGGCCGTCTGTTCAATTGGGTTCTTACTTAAGTGAAACGGGTTGACCTCTTTAAGTGGTTGGATATCTGCCATACTTCTCTCCTACCCTTGGATGATGACTGCTCATATGGTTATTTTGACTTGGTCCTTGGATCCCTATTTTGGGTCTCTTCGTTTTCTTCCATTTTCTCTCTAAGTGAAAGTCTAGGGTTTTCTCGTCTGTAAATCGTAATCGATCTGAGTGATTCTTCAATCCTTTATTTGTGAATAGCTGTGTAGTATGTATAGTTTTTAGGAGTTGATTATTGTGAGATTATGATTGTATTTGAGGCTATATTGAACTTGAAGAAACATTTGGTTTCTTCATACATATGTACTGATTCTTGTTCTATTTTAGTGGATCTAAAGCTATATCTTCTATGGATGATCAACGGGTGAGTAGGTCTTTTGAGACTGAACATCCGGACCCTTCAGGGTGAAAAATCTTGTGTTATGTTTCATTTTATGTTTCTGCACTTTTATTTGGTGTTTGAGAACTTCGATCTTTAGTTATTGTGAATTTGGGCCTTACATTCTTCAAATTAGTATTTTCATACAATGAGAAAATAAAACGTTTTCTAATGGTGGAATTATTATAAGAGGAAATTACAGCCACACAGATTTTTAAAATACCATTTTCACAAATCCAAATTCAACTTTAATACTGCATAAATCAGGTTTTAATTAATAATTTTTTAAATTAATTTTTATTTAAATCAAATTTCAAACCCTAATTTTTCATTCACTCCCATCTCCCTCTCTCTCTCTCCAAAACTGACCCATTTTCTCTCCCCCATCTCTCTATCCCCGTCGCCACCACTCCACCGGCACCACCACCACCTCATCGGCACCACTACCACCTCTATCTATTATTGCATCTCACTGTGTCTGCGTCGTCGAAGACCGCCATCTCCTCCGCCATTCTCCTCTCTTACCCTTTCTATCGCAGATCTGTTATTTCCGTTTGTCTTTTTTTAAATTTTTCGAGTTTGGATGGTTTTGGAAAAATGGTTGTTTAGATGTGAGATGAGATCTGTGTTTTGTTTTTCAATGTGGCGGATATGGTGGATTTGT